TCAAAATAGAGATGTCAGCTTATAAACCAACAACGCGTCATATGCGTGAAGTGTTAATTTATTATTTTATTAGTAACAAGACCGCCGCTAATGCTTACCGAATTCTCGTACGAACTTATGGCGAGAGTTGTATGTCCGAACGTATGTGTTATTTATGGTATAAACGCTTTAGTAGTGGTGATTTTAACATAGAAAAAGTTGCTGAAAGAAAAATAAGGAAACGATGTACAAAAATACATACAGCAAAACCATGTAAAAAATGGATAGATGTAGAATTAGTCCGCTTGTACCATAAAAACCCGTATCTACCTGAAAATACGATGGCGAAAAAATTGGGAGTTAGCTTTAATGTGGCTCGTTATAACTTAAAACGTCTGGGATTAAAAAGCAAATACAAAAAAATACAGCGTAAGCAAATTTCTATACCAAATAGTAATATAATATATTAAAAATATATTAAATAAATATATATGTATAAATATATATAGTTTTTCTTCTTTTCATTAATGTTTTTTCTTTTCTTCCATTAAAAGTTTCCTTGCGTCAAGAAATTTTCCGCTTGAGACGTCAATACCCGGATATATCTAACGCGGAGATCGGAGAACAATTGGGCATAACCGAATTTAGGGTTTCTAATAATTTGAAATATATGAAAAGTTTGGACAAATTAAAAGAAGAAAAGTGTAAGCAAATTTCTATACCTAATAGTAATATACTCACATATATATATATATTTTAAATATTAATATAATACTATATAAATATATTAATTAAAAATAAACATATATTTTTTTTTTTTTTTGAAAAAATTGGCAAATTTTAGAAATAAAATTTAACTATAGGAAAAATAATATTTAATTTATATATGTATATGTGTATAATAAAAATGTTATTTTCTTTTTAAACGGTTTTGAACACCAGTCAGTTTTAAATGGGAGGGATTTACAGAAACGTTTGTTTCTTTGTTTGTTTCAGGCAAATTTTGAAACTTTCATGATCAATACTAAAGTTTATTTAAGATTCTTTCTTCTTAGTATATAATATCGTTTATATTAACCGTTTACAGTATTAAGATATTACAAATAATATTGATTAACGAATATTTGTTACATAGAATTCATTTCAAATTTGACTTACAGGTTACTATTGATACAATATTCTTGATTTTATTTTTCTTATTATTTATCTGACATAATATATTTCTTTATATTTATATATTTATTATTGATCTATTCTGTAAACGAATAAATAATTTTAAAATAAATTTACTCTGTATATATAAATTTGAAAACATTATTATTATTGTTTATACAATTTGTCAGTTATTATATATGAATTATTTTGGGACTCATTGTGTATAGAAATATTTGTCCTACGTTTTTTTTTTGGATATTTCGAATGTAGTTTTAAATGTTCGGCGTTAAAGGAATATTTTGGTCTGGTACAAGGTAGAAGGATAATATCAACATTACATGTGATCTATACCTAATCCTTTTTAAAAATTAACAGATAAAGATTCATATACAACGAATATTAATTTGGATCTTTTAAATTAGTAAATACAACATAGACTTAAATACAGACATTGACAGCATCTGATGGTGCCTTAAGCGTCACTGACAAAATGGATCGTATGATTTTGGACCCTTTCACCTGTTTTTGAATCATTCCCCACTATTTATTTTTGAGATATCTGAGTAGCTGGCAATAGATGCCGTTAAACGTTAAGTGAACTCCTCCTATATATTAAAAATAATATTAATATATTAAGTATAGACATATATATAGATTTTCTGTAGATGGCATTACCGACGAGTAGAAGTTGAATACATATATATATAAGACAGCTTGAGATACTCTTTCACATTTTATCAGTTATTGACTTGTGTTTATATCGTAAATATAGTCATTTCAAATTAGTGATGTCAGCTTATATACCGACATATCGTCATATGCGTGAAGTGTTAATTTATTATTTTATTAGTAACAAAACCGTCGCTAATGCTCACCGAATTCTCGTACAAACTTATGGCGAGAATAGTATATCCAAAACTGCGTGTTATAGTTGGTATAAACGCTTCAAATGTGGTGATTTTAACTTACATAATCTTGCTGATAGATGTAAAAGAATACAAGATGAAAAATTTATAGATGAAAAATTATGCCGTTTGTTTCATTTAAACCCATATCTATCTCAATATGAGATGGCAGAAAAATTGAAACTAAAGATCAATGTGGTTAGTAATCGCTTAAGAAGTCTGGGATTAGAAAACAAATACAAAGATATACATTGTAAGCAACTTTCTATACTTAATAGTAATATATATATATATTAAAAAAATATATATGTATTTATATATATAGTTTTTCTTCTATTTAATATTTTTTCTTCTTCCATTAAAAGTTTTGTTGCGTGAAAGAATTTTCTACTTGAAATGTAAATATCCGGGTATAACTGAAGAGGAGATCGGAAATCAATTGGGCCTATCCCAAACTACGCTTTCTTATCACTTAGAAAATCTGGAATTAGAAAAAATTGGCAAAGAAAAAGATTGTAAGCAACTTTCTATACTTAATAGTAATATACATATATATATTTATAGAATACATTATAAATATATTAAATAAATATATATGTATTAATATATATAGTTTTTCTTCTATTTAATGTTTTTTCTTCTTCTATTAAAAGTTTCCTTACGTGAAAGAATTTTCTACTTGAGATTTAAATACCCGGGCTTAACTCACGAGGATATCGGAAAACTATTGGACATATCCCAATCTGCGGTTGGTTATCACTTAAAACGTATGTAATGAGAAGACAAATTAGAAAAAGAAAAGTGTAAGCAAATTTCTATATCTAATAGTAATATACTCATATATATATTTTAAATATTAATATAATATTATATAAATATATTAATTAAAAATAAACATATATTTTTTTCTTTTTTTGAAAAAATTGGCAAATTTTAGAAATGAAATTTAACTATAGGAAAAATAAGATTTAATTTATATATGTATATGTGTATCATAAAAATGTTATTTTCTTTTTAAACGGTTTTGAACACCAGTCAGTTTTAAATGGGAGGGATTTACAGAAACGTTTGTTTCTTTGTTTGTTTCAGGCAAATTTTGAAACTTTCATGATCAATACTAAAGTTTATTTAAGATTCTTTCTTCTTAGTATATAATATCGTTTATATTAACCGTTTACAGTATTAAGATATTACAAATAATATTGATTAACGAATATTTGTTACATAGAATTCATTTCAAATTTGACTTACAGGTTACTATTGATACAATATTCTTGATTTTTTGTTTTTTCTTATAATTTATCTGACATAGTATATTTCTGTAGAATAATATGATTTTTTGAAAGTAATAACATTGATATCAATTTATAGATTCATTACAGGAACAAATTATTTTAAAATAGATTTAATGTGTATATGAATTTGAAATCATTGTTTATCAACTGTTGTTTATACAATTTGTTAATTAATATATATAAATTTATTCTGTGACTCATTGTTTATAGAAATATTTACCCTCCTTTTTTTTTGTTTTTGGATATTTCGAGTGTAGTTTTAACTGTTCGGGCGTTAAAGGAATATTTTGGTCCGGTACTAAGGAAAAAAATAATATCAACATTACATGTGATCTATACCTAATCCCTTTTGAAAATCAACAAATTAAATATAACGAAATAGAATAAAGCCCTTTACAAATTAGTAAATACAAAAAAGACTTAAATACAGAAATTGAAAGCATCTGATGGTACCTTAAGCGTCACTGACAAAATGGATCGTATGATTTTGGACCCTTTCACCTGTTTTTGAATCGTTCCCACTATTTATTTTTGAGATATCTGAGTAACTAGTAATAGATGCCGTTAAACGTTTCGTGAACTCCCCCTATATATTAAATATAATAGTAATATATTATTTATAGACATATATATATATATAGATTTTCTGTAGATGGCAGTACCGAGGAGTAGAAGTTGAATACATATATATATAAGACAGCTTGAGATACTCTTTCACATTTTATCAGTTATTGACTTGTGTTTATATCGTAAATATAGTAATTTTAAATTAGAAATGTCAGCTTATAAGCCTACTTATCGTCATATGTGTGAAGTGTTAATTTATTATTTTAATAGTAACAAAACCGCCGCTAATGCTCACCAAATGCTCGTTCAAGCTTATGGCAAGAAAAAAAGTATAAGCATTAGTAGATGTTATTTTTGGTATGGACGCTTCAGGAGTGGTGATTTTAACATAGAAACACGTGGTAGAAAACACATAGGAAAACGAGATACAAAATTAATAGAACAAGAAATAATCCGCTTGTTTCAAATAACCCCGCGTCCAACTCAAAAGGATATAGCAAAACAATTGGGAATAAGCGGAAACTGTGTTTCTTATCACTTTAAACGTCTGGGATTAAATAAAGTAATAAATAATGAAAAGTGTAAGCAAATTTCTATACCTAATTGTAATATACATATGTATATTAAACATTAATATAATATAATATAAATATATTAACTAAATATAAATATATCAATTTTGTTTCTTCTACAATTTAAATTTTTTTTTTTTCTTCCATTTAAAGCTCTTTTGTTTCATCAAATTGTCCGCTTAAAACGTAGACATCCACATTTATCTAAGCAGACCATAGGAAGACTATTTGGCCTAAGCGTAACTACAATTTCTTATTACTTACATTGTATGGAAGCACATGACAAATTAATAGAACAAAACCGTAAGCAAATTTCTATACCTAATAGTAATATATATATGTGTATAATAAAAGTGTTATTTTCTTTTTAAAAAATTTTAAAAATCTCTCAGTTTTAAATGGGAGAGATTTACAGAAACGTTTGTTTCTTTGTTTGTTTCAAGTAAATTTTGAAACTTTCATGATCATTACTAAAGTTTATTTATAATGTTTTCTGTTTAGTATATAATATCATTTATAAACCGTTTACAGTATTAAGGTATTACAAATAATATTGATTTACGAATATACGTTACACAGTATTCATTTCAAATTTGACTTACAGGATACAAATGATACAATAATCTCTTAATTTGTTTTTCTTATTATTTATCTGAAATAGTATATTGCTTTTAGAATAATATATTGTTTCTAAAGTAATATAAATTCATATTGATTCATTCATTACAGGAACAAATAATTATGAAAATAGATTTAATGTGTATATAAATTTGAAAACATTATTTATCAATTATCATTTATACAATTTGTCAGTTATGATATATAAATTAATTCTCTGTGACTCATTGTGTATAGAAATATTTGTCCTACTTTTTTTTTTCTTTTGCTTATGTATAATATACATACATAAATATATATACACGTACACATANTCAAAATAGAGATGTCAGCTTATAAACCAACAACGCGTCATATGCGTGAAGTGTTAATTTATTATTTTATTAGTAACAAGACCGCCGCTAATGCTCACCGAATGCTCATACATGCTTATGGCGAGAATTGTATAGGCCTTCCTACCTGTTATAGGTGGTATAATCGTTTCAAGGATGGTGATTTTAACATAGGAAATCTTGTGGGAAGACATATAGGAAAACAATGTGGAAAAATTACAAATGATCAGTTACTAAACTTGTATTATTCAAATCCGTATCAAACTCTAAGCGAGATGGCAGAAAAATTGGAAGTTAGCCGTAGTGCGGTTCATTATAAGTTAAATCGTCTGGGATTAGGAACCAAATACAAAGAAAAACATTGTAAGCAACTTTCTATACTTAATAGTAATATATATATATATATATATATATATATATGTTTTGATAATTAGTTCGTTTCTAACGAGAAACTTCGTTTCTAACGAGTAACTTGGTTTCTAACGAGAACAGAGACACCGGGAATTTTAGTTAGAGTTTCTTTTAAAAAGTGAAAAAAATTAAAAGAAGGAAAGAAAGATGGAAGGAAGGAAAGAAAGAAAGAAAGATAGGTAGATATAGGACTACTTGGTTGATACGAACACATAACGAAACCAGCCGAACAGCTTTCAAAGTAGCATGAGTAAGAAAGATCTTATAGGTCCACGGTTGAATACCTTTTCAGGGAAGAGGTATCGTTCATCTGAGAGTTTCGATGAAATCTAAAAGAAAAGAAATACAATACAAAAGAAAATAAATAATTACAATTAAAAACAAAATCTAGAAACCCTATTATAATCATTATTTTCATTTCTAGCAAGTTGTAATAATACCATGATCGTTTAAGTTATTTAATTTATATATAATATATATAGTTGTAAATTAAGAAAATTGTTGTTTATATCAAATGAATATCGGTAATCTTAAAAATTATCAAAATATCGTTTATATACATATATTATTTTATTAGGATCGGATTCAAAATAATAGCACATATATATAATAATAATAAAACTCAATAAATTATACGCGATATAATCAAAAACATAAAATAATAAAACAGAATTGATTTCAACAACAACAACAACAACAAAATACCTTGCATAATTAAAAAAGAGAAAAAAAGAACTACTAAACCAAACCAAAGAAACACATCGGTGATAATCTAACAGTAAATAAACAAACAACACACACCGCGTGACGTTTTATATTTAAAAAGAAAAAACCCAGCTAAAACAATCGTCGTCATCCTGACCGTCATCCTGACCGTCATCCTGACTGTCATCCTGACTGTCATCGTTGGTTTCCCTTTACGTCTCTCCACATTGTCCCCCTTTTCAGAAGCTTGGGCCCAATGGATGGATATTCCCCTTCCCCCTTTTTTTCTTTTAAAAGGCTCGTTGTAGAAACGAAGGGTAGCAGCAGTGACGACCCCTTTTGGTGTGTGCGAGGTAAAGGGACGGACAGCTATCGATTCCACACCAACCTCATTTCTTTCTCTCTCTCTCTTACTCTTTTTATATCTATCTGTCTTTTTCTTTCTCACTTAAACATTCTTGTTCCCTATACCTTTTTCCTGGATAAAAGGGCGTCAGAGGAAGATGTAGAAGAAGAAGAAGAAGTAGAAGTGTGGCGAAGTGTGCAGCTTTATCTTTCATCCTTATTTCTCTTTTTTTCACTCCCTTTTCCTCTCATTTTCTTTTTTTTCCCCTTTCTTTCATCCTTCTACACACACATACATACACACATACATACATCTTTACACCATTCATTATTCTACCTAACACTTTTCCTCTTCCTTTTTCCTTCCTTCTTTCCTTCTTTCCTGTCTTTCTTTCTTTCTCTTTCTTTCTCTTTCTATTTCTCACATAGTTTTGTTGTTGTCTTCTTCCTATCTCTTTCTTTGTCTCCTTTTTTTCTTTTGTATTATTGATATATGTATGTCTCCTCTCTTTAGTTCTTTTCCTCTTTTACCTGTATAATATGTGTCTACTACTATTCTAATATCTCTTTTATTTCTTACACGACACCATTGACCATTGTTCTCTTTTTTTTTTTGTTACTACTACTACTACTACTACTACTACTACTACTACTACTACTACAACTGGTATGTGTTTTATTTGTATTTTTCTTTTTTTCTTTGGATTTCTCCTATTTTCTTCCCTTATTTTTCTTACTTTCTCTACTATTTCGTACGTTCGTTCATTCGTTCATTCCCTTTAAAAACTCACGTAGTACCTAGCAAGTACAGTACAGTATAAAACATTGTTTCAAGTCGATTCTACTCGAGGGAAAAAGAAATTTTCTCTTTTTTTTTTTTTTCTCTTATCTTTCTCTTCTCTTTTTTTTTCTCTCTCTCTCTCTCTCTCTCTTTCGTAGACTTTTCAACATGTTGTATACATGTCTAGTATTATATTATAATACTTTAGTTTCATGTTGTAACAAATCTCATCAAAGTAATGAAATTTCTTCTTATAAATTGTCTTCTGAAAAATGATTATTTAACATTTATTTAACATGTCACGTTGTTTGTCCGCAATGGATTCCTAAACTATTGAACCAATTTGAATAAAATTGTGCACACTGTGTGCAATTTCATCCAATTTGAAAGATAAAATAGTTTAGATCTAGATAAGATAGTTTAGATTTAGATCTCAATCAGTAGTTTAGTAGTCCATTGCGGACAAACAACGTGACATGTTAAATAAATGTTAAATAAATGTTAAATAAATGTTAAATATATATATATATATATATATTATTAAAAATATGTCAATAGAAATTGTATCCTTTTCGTAGTTCTTTTTCATAGTTCCCTTAAAATTCCTTGGAGAAAAATTTGAAGAAAAATGTAGCTAGCAAGCTAGCTAGCTTAGCTTAGCTTAGTTTAGCTAGCTTGCTGACTTGCTAGTAAAAGTTCCCCCTTATAGTCAAGTCCAACTGCTATTTCACGTCCTTTCTCCCTTTATCTGTACACAAATACTAACACACACACATATATATATATAAGTAAAGACATATATTCTTGGTATATGCGTATATATGTGCGTAAAAGAGAGAGACAGATAGATAGACAGCTAGATAGATAGATAGATAGAAATATAAAGAAGAAAAAGAAGACAAAGTTAGGGGTCTTATTTTTCTCGCGTACGCCCAATCTTTGTAAGCTCTTTCTTTTTTTTTCCCTTTTTTTAACTTCCTATCCCTTTTTTTTCTCACCGTACGTAAAGTACATATATTTCATTCATTCCACTCGCTTAGGAAGTTGGAAAATACGTTGAAAGAATATCAACTGACGGGAATTGGTAAAAAGATCGTAATACGAAGAAATTTCAAATGAGTAAGAAAGAAACAGAAATAGAAAATGGAGAAAGAGAGAAAGGGAGAAAGATAGATACTGAAATTTCAAATGAGAAAGAAAGAGACAGACACACAATGAGAAAGAGAAATGTTCACTTCACTTATATAATAGATTCAAGATAACGTAAGATAAAATGAGATATGTTACACAGTAGCAACGACGATGATGATGATGATGATGATGATGATGATAACGATGATTATGATAATGATTATGATGATGATGATGATAATGATGATGATAGTAATAGTAGTAGGTGTAAAGGTAGTTTAAAGTAAGAAAGGTTATTGGAATATTAATGAGCAAGAAAGAGTAGAACATTTGAAAGTATTGAATCGTAAATTACATACAAAAAAAAAATAGCTGTATAATTTCAAAAAAAAAAAAAAAAAAAAATGTAGACAATTGTATGTACGTTGTAAAAGGGTGAATTTTATTTTTATTATGGGGATCTATGGACATTGCATACGGGTTTTATGCAACGAAGATCCAATGCAGATAATACTGGGAAATAAAATTAAATATAATTGACATAAATATTAATAATTATATATTATCTAATATTAATATTAATAATCTAATTAGATTGTGAATAATCTTTCTATTCTTTTTTTCTTTCTTTCTTTTTTTTTTTTTTTTAACAAATCCATTATTAATCTTCTAAACCTAAGACTAGTTTATCTAATTCACAAACACGTGCTTATTTCTCGGTATATATCAAGATATAATACAAAACTATTAAGAATGTTTGCAAGGATGAAACTACAGTTGTTGTTGTTGAAATGTTTCAATATGACATAGAGACACATATACATACATATATGTGATAAGTTTGTCTCGATAGTAGGATATCATCGGTATGACCTAATTATCACGTTCACCGGATTTCAAGCTTGTTGTTGTTGTTGTTGTTGTTGTAGTTTTAGTAAATCCTGGTAACCCGGAAATGGTAATTGAGAAACTGTTACTCC